GAGCACTCGAATTCTTATTTTAAACATCCACCTATGCTAGGTGGATCTCAGTTTGAGCTTGAAATGCATTTCTTGCATACTTAGGCAAGAATGTGCACTTCAGATTACTTCAAAAGTTGTTTCGGAGAGTCACGGTGTGTACCCTTCTTTCAAAAATTTAAAACATGTTGTTCAGTTGTAAAGATTCTAGGTTGTTCTTATTTTTTAAGTCAACTCACTGGGCATAGCTGGAATTTTTAAAATTTATTCTGTGCATGTGTTTATTTTGCCTGAAACGCTAAGTTGATTTGGAAGACAGAAAGCGCAGCTTGTGGCATGGATACTGTATTCCTTCTGCCTTTGGGGCTTTCCCCCAAAGCTCAGAAACTGCTTTCTACCTACTCTTGAGCTGGCAAATCCCATACTGCTTCCCTAGACTCTGTTCCGGTTGGTCACCAGAAGGCAGACTCCTGATTTCTGCTGTGCAGAATGTTTTAAGCAAAACAAGGGCTAAACCTCTGGCTTTGCTGCCCTCCCCCTTTCTAAATGTCACCAGCTGGCACGAAACTATCAGCCAATCAGAGCACTGCCATGAGTCAGAGAGGATTTTGACTGACGGTCGGACCCTTAGGTTTTGCCATCTATTAAAACTCACCATCTGCACAAGGCCACTGATCAGCAAACCTGTGCAGGCAGAGAATTTTGAAAGAGCACTAAACTTGTGGGTCATGACCCCTCTTTGAATCCACTACCTACCCAAGCTCATCATGCAGCTGATATCTAAGTCCAGGGAAGTGGTGGGCTTAAAAGTGCCAGAGATGAAAGCTATACCCACCACATCCTAGAACCTGCCAGATAGCTGATACCAAGGCTCCAGAAATTGATGGGTACAGCCAGGAGCTCAGTTTGAATGAGCTGGACTTTACAGCTTTTCCAAACAGGATAATTCAGGGAGCAGAGGGGAAGAGCATGCCCGCACATCAATCTGAACTGTCCCAACAGGTGCTGAGCTGATCCAACACCTGCCAATAAAGTGGTTGAACTTGCTAACAGTAACCCACTTCAGATTTTGACACCCTCAAACTGATGTGAATTGCTGTCAGCTGAAGAGAGAAAGCACCACTTTAGCAAAGGAATAGCTAAGAACAGCTTAAGGCTGACTCAGATATGGGCTGGAACAAGATGAAGGCAATGTCATAGGAATGTAGCAGAAAAAAAAGGATTACGTGCTGAAGTACATTACATGTTTTCACATATACATATGCACTTACATGTACAACCCCATGCATAGTGACTCAGCAATAAAATATCTGTGAGAGCTTGCTGTAAAGGAAGTGTGCATGTTGACTTATAATTACACTCAGTGAATTTCAATCATACAAAAGACTTGTTCCAGGATTCTGGGAGAATTCATAACACAGTAATCTACTTCACATATCTTGCTAAGCTATGATTTATTAGACCACAGTTCATTGGATACACCACCGTTGGCTGGCTTCATGCAACATGATAAACCATAAGCATGGTTTAAAGACCTCTCTGGTTAGGCTTACAAAACATGGTAAGCCAAAACCAAGCCACATTATGATGAACAAATTTAGCAGATTTTCCCACTATTTCCTAATCCTGCAACAAAGCCACTAATCTATGGGCTGAGTCGAGTCAGAATCACATGCCTGTGATAGGTTGCTTTATGTGAATATAAGTAAGTAAAATTGTGGCTTCACAAATCTGCTTATCATCTTTAATCAATAGTCATGCTCATCTTCTCTGGATCATTCCATTTGTAGGGAGTATGTTTAGACCATTGTCCTTCATGTCTAGCTGAAAAATACACCACTCATCCTTGGGGAAAAAGTTATATTGCCTGATCTGAAGGCAACATCTGATTCAATTCCCAGGATTAGGCTATAAGAAAACTGATCACTTCCTCCATTGATTGGCATCCCCTCAGTTTAGTTGCGAAATTTCATGAGAACCACACCATTGACAGGCAGACCTACTTTCCCCTCAGTGAAACTGAGCTATATTTATTTTAATGTGCGTGTATACACTTTGGTGCATACCCTGTCAGGATCAGAGCTCCATGTCCCTATGCTGGCAACCAGTCTGCTTGAGCTTTGGTGCATGTAGACACCATCACCCTCCTGTCCTACATCTCAAGTGGATCTAAGAAGATGCCTGAGGGCAGTTGCCTATTATTGCAGAGACAATGGCCTTCTCTCATCAAACCTGACAAAGCTAGAGTAGTGGTATTTTAAAGAAGTCCTGTTACACAATATCAGTCTTGGAAAACTGCATCTTTGGGGTCTGCTTTAATGATTTGGCTTCCTGTGATGAAAAGACAAGGTCCATCTCTATGCGAGCCCAAAGTCTTGTAAACCTATTTTTCATTTTTTTATTGTAGGGGCAATAATCAGGTTCTGGTAGCAAATAAGATCAACAGAGCAGAGGGTATGAACTGTCCAATCTGTGGTGCGCAGGTTTGCAAATAGTGTATTGTGGACCCCTTCAAAGTTGTTCAATCAAAATTCTTCAGGGCCCTGGCTGTCCTGCCCCACTGTGCATCCACTAAGGCTTGAAAGGCCATATAAAGCCCAGCATGTGACTATGTTGTTTAAAATACTTGTTCCTGAACCCTGCAGAATAAATTTACATCTTCACAGACAACTGGGTTAAATTCATACTTAAAATCCTGTGGCTTCTCTACTCAATGTGTGAACTCAACTAACTTTGAAAGAGTCCTGTCAGAGTTGAAACAATGGATCATGAATGAAGATCTTCAGGAAGATTTAAGTTTCAGCCCAAAATATATAGCTCAGGTTTACTTGAAAGACCCTTCTCAGTGGCCTCCTATCTTGCCAACATTCTTTGCCCAGTGTAAAGGAGAGATTTCATACCTTCAGCATGCTGCCTTAATCACTGTTAAAAAGGAGATAATGGCATCCTTCTGCAAGAACATATGTGTCCCCGCTTGCTTGGGCAAGTTGAATCAGTTGCCCTTCTCCACTGCTCTTTCTATTCAACCTAGTGTAAGAGCTTAATGAGACTCTTACTAACTAACTGCCATAAGTATTCAGAAGAAGACATGCCCTTGTTCTTTTAGCAGATAAGTCAGTGTCAGTCTCCTGGAGTGTGGTCGAATTCTGTGCAATCAGCATTGCAGATTAATGGGATCACTGTACATAGTTTTGCTACATAGAACAATACAGACACAATTTTATAATGTAGAGCTTTTAGGGCAATGTATGTTTGTGGTCACTGCCTGTAAATAAATATTAGTATAAAATGACCCGAGGCAGCAAAGCCAGAGCAAATGGCTGAGAAAGCTATGCTGTTTACTAATTTGGTCATCCTTTCCTCTCCAGGTGAAATGCTACCATAAGCAGCTCCAGGGAACAGAGCGGGATGTCGTGTTCCGGGTCCAGTTTCACACTTGCACCATCCACAGCACCCAACTCTGGTTCAGCAAAGATGAGCTGGATGAAGCCTGGAGGGGTGAGCAGAGAGGCTGATTGTTGGAACAGAGAAGCAAACAGCCATGCGTGTTAATATGGGGCAAAAAGGCTACATGTGTGTAGTCGGAAGTATCAGAAGGAGCCCGATAGCACTTTTTCCAATAACGCATTTTACTAAAAGGCATTAGCTTTCTGATGCTGCAGCCCACTTCATCACATGCATGGAGTGACTAGAGTGATGTGGGATTTAAATTAGGAGGAGGCAGGAATAAGGGAAAGGGAAGGAGGGACAGGCTGGTTATGCAGGTTACATGTGAGGGAGATTACAAGTAGCTTTTTTTTTTTTATCTGCACTCAGTCGTTACCGACTCTGCAGTGACTGCTTTGGACAAGTCCTTTGCAGTTTT